TGACATAAATAAAATTATATAATCAAATGCTAAAATTGTGAAGTATCACACAGAAACCTGAGAGTTTTAAGTGATGCTGAATCAGATAAAATCATATTAAGTATTAATTGTATGTTCGTTTCCGTTTACGGGATCACAGGATTCGGACCTTTGGAAAGCATACGAGGGGCCGAAACCAACTCGCAGAGGCCCGTTGAACAACTTGACTGGGACACCCTGGCAATTATCGCTGTATGCACTATAAAAGTGCACCCAAGGATAATCCCCGGTTGATGAAGGACTATTGTGAATTGCGGTAATAATTGAAAGAGTTATGGGTATGGGTTGCTATGGACTGGTGGATATGATAACAATGGAAATACTATGACTACGATACGGATAAACAGGCAGGGAGTGACTGGCAAACTCAATTAATGGGCCCCCGGAAACGGCCGCTAGCATGTAGCGACAAGGGGGCAACATACGTTGAGCTGCTTGGGGAAGGAGAGGCATCCCACGGCTATCAGAGCATTCCCGGAAGTACGGTCAAAACCCCTACCACCATCTTACTGAGATAAATCCTTTCCCCGAGTCTCCTTCAACTCCTACTCTTGCGATTCTCCACTCAAGCCAGCCAATTAAGGCAAGAATGAGGTGGGAGCTTGTTTTTCATCAGTGTTCACTCAGCTAGTCACGAGGACGAACTAGAAATGAAGAACAAGACATCTCCCGTTAGTCAGGTCCGTGGGGTTGCCACTACCCAACAGCTCGCTACAACTGCCTTGCGGTTTAAAGTAGCATTCATTTAAGTATTAATTATTATTAAGTAATAATAATTTAATTAATAAGTAGCCTAAATATACAAATAATTATTCAATGAGCATCGTTAAGAAGTATATGTGCTAACAGACTTGCTCTAACTAATAAAAACAGTATCAACATTAAATTGACCACACAAATCCGGTATTTCAGTCTCAATTATTTTGCAGGACATTATAGATTTATCCATCTTGGAACATGAGAAAGAACAAAATGGTTTTTAATCTCACAGTCCCACTCACCCTACTGAGGGAAAGATAAATGGATCTCTGGTGAAAATAGAGATTGATTAAATTTTTATTAACGTATGTTTACTATTTCATGTAAATTAAGCATAAGCTATTAGTCTCTGTCTATCATAAATAATCCTAATCTAATTAAAACCCAGTATCGCTTTTGGTGGGTTGTAGAGGGCAAGAAAATAAAATAATATTTAGTCGTATAAAAAAAAGTTTATTTGTTTTTTAACAACGTTTTCCATTAGAACTTTTATTGTTAACATATTTATAGTTGACCGTTGATCCAGCTGATGTAGGAAGTTACTCTGGCGAAAGCAGCAGGGGAACCGACCTGGCAACCACGAGCAGATCCGAAGGAAGTGACACCGATCTGTTGAAGAAGTTTCGTGAATGTTACTACATGTAATTAATACATTAAAAAATGTGATATCTAGTTAATACGAAAGTACCCCAGGCAAGATGCATGAAGATAAGTGTAAAAATTCGTAAGCTATTTACCAAGAGAGGTCTGCTGTTCCTGGTGACAACAAGAGGGCCGCCGGAGTCACCCTGGCAAGTGCTCCTGCCACCAGCGCCGCTGGTACAGATGTTGGAGTCCTGGATGATCAAGGGGAAGGAAGATCTGCAGACTGCGTTGGTGATCACGGGCAGCGTGACGTGGCTCAGGAATTGATTGGTACTGATACCAGCTCCTGCATATTTTAATGCCTGTTAATTAGTCAATTCAGTTGACTTAGAACACTTCGAAATAAGTTAAAATACTTGCCATCACTGGTGCGACCGAATCCAGATGCGATAGCGTTTTCACCGGCGAAATTTTCGTTGAGCTGGCTACCGCTGGGGAGAGCAATGACGGCGATGTTGTCTATTGAAACACAATATGGTAAACTTATTTATGTAGAAAAATGGGCGCCTACTTACTACACAAACATCGTGTGGTTTTTAAAACGATAAAATGTATGTAAATTCTGTATAGTGCTTACGTACTTGAGAGACCAACGTTGGAGTTCAATCTGATCATGGCAACATCGTTACGAATCAGACTGGGGTTCCAGCTTCCGTGCATGACAACGTTGGAGGAAGTGACTCTGGTACCACCGCTGAACAAACGGACGGATCCAAGGACAACGGTGAATCTCCAGGCCTGGTTCTGGCCATCGAACCAGCAGTGAGCAGCAGTAAGCACACGGTTGGCACGGAGTAAGGAACCACCGCACACACCCTGGCCTTGGGAGAAGTCAGCGAGAAGACCAGCCTGCACAAAAGAAACGATGATGAATAAAGTGTACAGTGGGGCAGACACTGTAAAGGTGATTGAAAATAAAAACTGGTTGTTACCTGGTAGGGGAACTGTCCGAGGCTGGAGGCAGAACCACCGACAATTCTGGATGCGCTAGCTTCCTCCTCAGCCTTACGGATTTCATCGGCAAGAGGTTTACCGATCTTAGCCAAGTATCCGTAGGCAGTGATGTCCTCTAGGTCGATGGCATCCTCAACGTTGATGTTTTTAGCGGAGGCCACCGCCGCCAGAGCCAGGAGTGTCAGAGCCAAGAACCTCATGTTGCCGTTATTGATAAATCAATATGTTTATTAATTTGTCGTTGCGTATTTATACTGCATCTGTCAGATAATTTCAAGATATGGTATACATTAGTGTGATGATTATTATTGATTGCATTATCTGAACGTAATTAGAAAATTGGGATTATAAGATAAGACTGAAATTGCGAATGGAACATTGTAATTTTTATTCTACACTCCTGTAGACTTTATATACAAAAGTTTAAGAAACTAGATGTCGAAAAATTTTCAAATGTAGGTACAAGACATGAAATTGTTAAAATTATTGTTACTGTCGTCTCCGTTTCGTGTTTGCCAATTCCCAGTGACAAATAATTGAACAAAATCTTATTGATTGTTCTTTTAGTTTCTGCCTATCTAAACTAAGTATATGAACGTTTAAAAGTATCAAAAAATTTTTTGGTTTCTGTGAAATTTGGTGCAGACATAGTTTGGAACTCGAGAAAGGACATAGTTTTTATACAAAAAATCTGCAGGAAGTCACTATTCCACGCGAACGGAGTTGCGGGCAAACGCAACCTCCCCTAGCGTCAGGAACAGTATTTCGCGATTTACGAAATTCAAAAACTGTTCTATTAGGATTGAAAAGAAAAAAAAAATGTTAAAATACATTATATTCACAATGTCAGCTTCTTATCACAAGTTTAATCTTCTCTTGATAAATTGCCTCTGAAAAGATTGATAATAATAAAGTAAAGAAAATAAATTTAATTGATCAATATTTTTATCTTATTTGGACAGAATAGTATTAATCTACTGATAAAAGTCTAAGTAATCGTACACGTGATTTACAAAACAGACAAAATTATTCTATGGTATATTAATGTGTACTAGACAGACACCGTCTAATTACGATACTTAAAATAACTTCGTTTAAAATAATTTTAACTATTTGAACTGTAGACATGAAAAACTTTTTGTTCATAAGGAATGGTCATCAAATGTTTTTTGTCACCCTGGGTGAAGCGTTAGACAGTGTCAGACTCTTAATGACTTATAACATACCCCCAACTCCTGGCCGCTATCTGAGTGTGACTATAGTAGGCTACGTCTATGATTGTTCGCAATCAAAGGATTGTTCTTTTTCTTTGAGACAAACCTGTTGCCATCTGCACACGAGTATATCTGGTTATTGAATCGCGTCTGCGGACTGCTAGTAAAGGTTGCTCGCCGCCCGACCAGAACCAGACCCGAGCGTACAGCGCGTAACGTTCCGCGCGCGCCTCGAAGAGCCAATAGACCACCACAGACGGGGCCCCATAGGCCTGATGCCTATTAGCCGGGGTTGCGGGTTAAGCGCAATGAGTCACCACGGCCTCGGCCCAGGAGAAGGAACGGGGGGTTTTTAGTCAGTAAAGAGTCTGACACTCTCTCTCGCCTTACCCTGGGCGGGAATAATTTGATGATTATCCCCTCGCAAAAAAAGATTGGGTGAATGATACGATGAATGATATGATGAATGATACGATACCACAACATGAGCTACTTGACATTGTGATACCCAGCCTTAGAAAACCGGCGTGAAGGAACGCTTGCGTTGTTTTTCGAATGTTGATAGTGGTGACTAAAGACTCCAATTCTAGCCTCTCACTCCTAATCTCCAAATTCTCAATTATCAAATCCCTTACAACATCCAAAGCGTTACTGTCCCAGTCGCAATTCGTCCGGTGTTGTGTTTATGGACAGCTACGATGGCTTACCATTATCACATTGAAATCAGATCTGACAAAATAATAAGAAGCGATGGTACGATATTAGTATCGTGTATAAACAAAACAGAAACCGAAAGACAAATTATCATTAAGACCTAAAATTGTTTCATGTATAATTTTACCAATACTCAACAATCGGGCAAAGAAGTTCAGCTCACACAAAAAAAAATAATATCTCATAATCTCATAATCTCATAATCTCCGCTATTTGGAGATTCCAGAATAATATCAAAAGAAGTGTGGAAACTTATGTTCATAATTATACACTAGCTGCGCTGAGTACCTGAGATTGGCAGTTTATCACTGAAATTAGAAATGTTTAAAGCTACAGTCCGTGGCAGTCCACTGCCTAACTACGGATAAGCCCCCTTTACAAAAGAGGGGTTTACCATAACCTCTAGTGTACAGCATATTTATTAAAGTCCAAGTTTATCAGAGTACACTACTCTTTGACTTTTGTTAAATGTGTATTGTTGTTTTAAAGTGGTTGCCTGAATAGTAAGAGTGGTGACTATTGTGTACAAATTACCGTCACCACGCGGTATATCACAAAGTATTTCTAAAGTCAGTTAATTAAATAAAAGAAAGAAATTAATTTAAGTTATTTTTATTAGTATTCCGATAGTATTTCTTTCCTTAACATTTTATTCGTAGCCGTTGTTTTTATTGTTCACAGTTGGCTGTTGATCCAGCTAATGAAGGAGGTGACTCTAGCGAAAGCAGCGGGGGAACCGACCTGGCAACCACGAGCGGATCCGAAAGAGGTGACACCAATCTGTGTAAATAAAAAATAAATGTTATGTTCTGTACCTGGTTGTTATTTTCTGTACAGATGGTATGATAAGTAATACCAAAAGTAAGAAAATTATTGATACAATAATATGTCACTAGTCCATAACCCAATGTTGTAAGATTGTTGAAGTAGTCTCAAATTCGTACCAAGAGAGGGCTGTTGTTCCTGGTAACAACCAGAGGGCCACCGGAGTCACCCTGGCAAGTGCTCCTGCCACCAGCGCCGCTGGTACAGATGTTGGAGTCCTGAACGATCAAGGGGAAGGAAGCTCTGCAGACAGCGTTTGTGATCACGGGCAGGGAGACGTGGCTCAGGAACTGGTTAATGGTGATACCCGCGCCTGTGCAATAATAATACTTGTAAATAAGTCATTCCAATAAACGATTATAACATAAATATTTTTGTGTAAAAGGACTTGCCATCAACGGTGCGGCCGAATCCAGAAGCGACGGCAGTTTCACCGGCGAAGTTTTCGTTAAGCTGGCTACCGCTGGGTAGAGCGATGACGGCGATGTTGCCTATTGATGTAAACAATAAAGATTGTTAATATTTGAAGGGTGAATTACTAATTACGTATTTAAATGTTTGGTCATTATACATACTTGAGAGAGCAACGTTAGAGTTTAGCCTGATGACTGCAACGTCATTACGGATGAGGCTGGGGAGCCAGCTTCCGTGCATGACTACACTGGAAGAAGTGACTCTGGTACCACCGCTGAACAAACGGATGGAGCCAAGGACAACGGTGAATCTCCAGGCCTGGTTCTGGCCATCGAACCAGCAGTGAGCAGCAGTAAGCACACGGTTGGCGCTGATTAAAGAACCACCGCACACACCCTGGCCAGCAGCGAAATCAGCGAGCAGACCAGCCTGTGCAAAACAATGGCAATTATTAAAGTTCTATAGTAAAGTGACTTCGATTATCCAATAAGTTGCTAATTGCAAAATTGCTTTTTACCTGGTAGGGGAACTGTCCGAGGCTGGAGGCAGAACCACCGACGATTCTGGACGCGCTAGCTTCCTCCTCAGCTTTACGGATTGCATCGGCAAGAGGCTTACCGACTTTAGCCAAGTATCCGTAGGCGGTGATGTCTTCCAAGTCGATAACATCCTCGACATGGATGTTTTTAGCGGAGGCCACCGCCGCCAGAGCTAGGAGAGCCAGACCCAAGAACTTCATTTTGCCGGTATTGATGAAACAATATGCTATACTATTTTCTGTTTGACTATTTATACTGTAAGTTTCAGATAATTTTGAGATATGATTTGAAATAGTTTTTGATAATTGATTGCGTTATCAAACTTAATAGAGTAGGTATGTATATTTATTTTAACTACCTTTCTTATGATGATATCCGTTTTAACTTGTGAGACATAAGCACTCGATTAATACTTTAAATTATGTAAAAACAAAACTTTATGTAAATAAGCATACAATAAACCAATTGATTATAGAGGATAAAAATGCTAGGAAGCTAGCTGATCGTGTACCCTCGGATAGTTATTAATGTTAAGACGGATTTTACTCATGAAATGTTACACTAAAATTAGTGTCAATTTATTTTCGAACCTAATAATTATTGTAAGCTTTTGCCCGCGACTTTGTTCGCGTGGTATAGTGACTTCCTGCAGATTTATGGTTTAAGAACTATCTTATGTCTTTTCTCGAGTCCCAAACTATGTCTGTGCCAAATATCACATAAATAGGTTCCGTAGTTTAGGAGCGAAGAAAAGACAGACAGACAGACAGAGTTACTTTCGCATTTATAATAACAGTTTCGATTTAAGTATTCTGAAACCCATTAAAATTAAACTGGACTAAAAGAATCTTGGTATATGTGTCAGCTTGATGTTGTCATGTTCAATTGTTATTTGAGGAGACACGGACACTGGATCGCTTGCCATCATTTGGGACTGGTTAACTCCAAATTGCCTAAATGTATCATCGTTCTTGAGGTTTTCCTTTTCTGATCCCTTAGTTTAATATAAGAAATATACTGTTCTCGCATTTTAGACCCGAATTAACAATGTAAGGAAGTAGTTGTAAAACAAAGAAGAGTAGGTACCTACACAGATATGTATCTATGAAAAATATGTTTTTTAAATCTTCATCAATTATTTATTACTTACTTTCAAAGTAAACAAATTACTCATGCTACACATATATTCGTCATCTGTGTTGTGATATTGGATTTGTATTTTGAATTGGAAGGTACATAAAATTATTCGTCAATTAGACTAACTGAAACTTCGCTGAGGTCCCGAACATGGCCTAAATTATAACTTCTAGCTTCTGCACGCCATCGTCCACATTACCAGGTTAAAAAGATTTCATCATCATCATCATCATCAGCCTATAATTGCCCACTGCTGAGCAAAGGCCTCTTCTCATACGGAGAAGGTTAGAGCATTAATCACCACGCTTGCTCAATGCGGGTTGGCGTTTTGACATTGTTAATTATATCATGCATATCGATAGACGGAGATTTATTTATGTAAACAATTTAACTGTGATTCAATGATGCGAAAGGGAGTAGGTATTAGACATTAACTGGATTAAAACCACTCCGTTCCTTGTCTTACTCTGGGGCGGGGCCATTGTAAACTATTGTGCTTGTATCCGCAACCCTGGAAGGTGTCTATCTACTCGTATTCTAAGAAACAACCATGTGTAGGATAGCTATTCTTTGGCATGAATGGGTCGGCTCGACCTAAGTGATTACTACAGACTCAAAGAAAACCGGCGAAAGGTTACCGGAGGCCCGATCCCTCCCTAATCCCAAAATCTCCAAATCCCTAATCCTGAAAAGGTCGGCAACGCACTCGTAACTCCTCCGTCGCGTCGTGTCCATGTCCATGGGCGGCGCTGATTGCTTACCATGAAGTAACCCATTTGCTCGTTTGCCGACCAATCACATGAAAAAGAAACATCCGGCCACTGTCAGTATCATAGTCATAAATCTTGCGCAACTCTGGGATTTAAATGTGATTTTTCAAGTTTACTAGGTACTATTTCCGATACGACGGCGTGGCGTCTTGATAAAAATTTGGTGGTCATGATTTTTTATAGTAGGTAAATGATTAAATCGATTGGTTTTAATAAGTACAATGAGTTAATCTAATCGATACAGATTTTTGATAAGCGTTCGTGTACGTAGGCATGCTTAATGTATAGTACAGGGTTTATCTGTAGTAGTTAAAGTGGTGTGATTCCGTGTTTTAATAAAGTAGATATGTTTACTGCAGTGACCTTAAAGAAATAGGTACAAAGTTTAATTTTTTTTCTAGTATTCCTTAAAACAATGAATTTATTTTTGCAAATAGGCCACACACATAAAACACCCCTTTCACACGATAAAGTTTTTTACATATGTTACATATGTTATGGATATTCTTATGCTATTTTCTATAAAGATGGAATATTGTAACTGTTAACTTGACACTGGATCACAGGTTTAATTTGATGGAACCTGTTTTTACTTTATTCGTTAAGTAAATTTAAATAATAATAGAGCGTACATCAACATACAAAAAACGGCTATTTTTCTATTAACCCCCTCGTTAATAGTAAACCAATTGTTTTATACAGCATTACACACGGGGCGACGTGATGAAAATAAAATGCTTCTTGTCTCGGGTTATGTTTTTTTTTATGTGATAGGACGGCAAACGAGCAACGGATTACCTGATGGTAAGCAATCGGCGTCGCCCATGGACACCCGCAGCAAAGAAGGAGTTACGAGTGCGTTGCCGACCTTTTAAGGATTGGGATTTTGGGGATTTAGGGATTGGGGTAGGGGAAGGATTGGGCCTCCGGTAACCTCACTCACACGGCGAAATACAACGTTGTGGTTGTTTCACGCCGGTTTTCTGTGAGGCCGTGGTATCACTCCGGTCGAGCCGACCCATTCGCGCCGAAGCATGGCCCTCCCACACTTAAATTATAATATGTTGTTATGAATAGCTTGTTACATATTGCATGGGTATTGTCAGTTTGTAAGTAGGTACTTGAAAAATGTCTTTTTTTTAAGGACTATCAATGTGTTTATCTTCTGCCCCATATCTATAAGTTATTTTCCAGATTCATCATCGCGCGTAGACTTGATGAGTTTCAGCCTCCTGAACAGGCCGGGTTCCACGGACCATAGACCTAGGACATATACACAACGAGGAAGATTGTATTATTGCATGATAATTGCTGGATAATGTATAATTTCCCCGATTATACTCCTTAGTACCTTTCTTCTGTGTTTTTCTATTATGTCAAGTTTGTGAAGTATGAGAAAATCTTTTACTGTATCGAAACCTGGTATATTCCGGAATTATGGTCGATTCACGTATTGAAATTGCTCTCTGAACCTATCCTCCTGCATTGAAGAGTGAGATACTAGAATTTTACTTACTTACATTTATTTATACATACCCTTTATTTGAGACGCAGCATCGGAAAGGACGGGATGTATATAACGACAAGTATCGCTCACATTTGAGATTTGATTGATGATATCTTCATTGTGTCTGAAACCATGCAGGACTTACAATCCGCAATGTATTCTGAACAGCCTGGCCGTTACTTACACTTGCATTGAACTTCGGATGAACTTAATGATCACCATACTAAGACAATGTTTAATAAATAGCGGAGGAAACTTGCGGAGCCAATCACCCTCAACAGGTTTCTTCTCGAGCTTTTTCAGTAGTTTATTTGTACATAAGGCAAACCACACATTTTAAAAGAAAGAACAAAGAGAGGCTCGTAGAAGAATACAGCTTGTTTAGGCCGCATATAAGAAACTTGGTTGGGTATAAAGACCTCGTCTAGGCAAACCTAGTGAAGGATGCCCTACAGCTTGTAGAGGGGCCATCTGTAATGTGACTGGCACTGGTTGATTAAAAAATCCTGGACGTTAAGCTTAGTGACGTGCAATTGGATAGGCCTAGCTTCATCTGTGAACAGATGATGATGATCTCTGGTGTCCTTGAGCGGCACTAATTGCTAACAATCAGGTGTCCCATCTCCAAATTGGCTGAACTCCGCAATAAAAAACTCTGCAGAACCCTAATTATTTTACTTAATGTAAAGTTTGTTGGGTTTTTTTAATCTCTAAATAAGACGTAGGTACATGATACTTAGTCAGTATGTAAGCACACTTTGATATTGATTTCTTATCTTCTAATTAATTTGATAACAGCAGTTTTAAACAATTATTGTTTACAGTACATGTTTGTGCAGGCAACTGGTCGTAGACATCAATAGAATACAAATTCCTTCGAATTTAAATTTCTTTGTTATAATACACTTTCCGTTAGTCATTAGCGTAAGCATGTTTGAGAGGTTTGAATTATTTTTCGAGCTCTATTCCGCCTTAAAATTATTCCAAGAATAAATGTTATTTAAGTATTTTTATGAGAAAATCGTTTGTACATTAAAAACGACGGCTTACTCCTAAGAACTAATCGTGAAGATTACTGCTAGTCTCACAAAATCCACAACCATCCGCGGTTCAAGAAGTTTTGGTGAACGAAGTTTAATAAAATCTTGTTGATCTTGTTGTTTAGTACTTAAGTAGAAAGCATCGATTATCGCAATCCTACTTCACAATGAAGTCGGCAATTTGGTAGATTAACACTACCTAATAGTTAACCTAAAAAAAAATTTACAAAGAATAATGCCCACTTTCTGGACATTTGAAAACTTGATAGTGAAAGTACGTATAGCTATAAGATATAGAAGATATAATTCCTGTAAGTTCAGAAAATAATGTATTGTATTCATTTTGGCAAAAAACGGCATGAAGCCTGTGAAATATTTATGTTTATTTTTAGGTTAAGATTTGCTATCACCAGAAATAATAAACAAAACGTGTATGAACTAATAACGAAAATTGATATCGATCGAAGTTTAGGCGTAGTAGTAGTAGAGGCTTTATTTTCTTTTTAAGTTATACTCTTTTTAGTTAGTTACTTTTTTAGTTATACTCTTAGGTACTGAGTAAAAACCCCCCCTGTTCCTGTTCCGAGCATAACTGCTTCACAGAAGGAGGAGACAGCGTCCCAGTTCCTCTCGCTCCGCACCATGGCCACGACTAAAGACGGGCGCGAGAGATCGCCGCCGCCGATCACTTCCCTGAGAACACGGTGGTGCTCAGCCCAGGCAGGGCATACCGCCACCGTATGCTCCACCGTATCCTCTACTC